AGGATCTAAATATCTGAGGTGCTGTTGTGAATATACATGAAGAAAGTGTTATGGCTGTAGGCTAGCATATTTCTGACTTACAATGTAACTAAATAGGCTGTCACAAAACATGACAAGAAATAAAGGGTTAGGCATCAGAACTACCTTGTTAAGAAGTACACTGTAACTGAGTATATAGTACATGTATTACAGTATATGAAAGTAATCTTGTTACTCCACAGTCTTAGCAACTTTCCTTATCCAGACATGGCAACCATACATGTACATTACTACTAATGGGATCTCTGATTTAGCAGGATTTTTCCTGTAGAACTTGAAGAACTAAGAAAATAAGCCTTGTGAGGTGCACCTATTTCTAACTATGAAACCTGTGGTTACTGTGTATCTGACTGATGACCGTACCGTGTGTTCCAGCCGCAGACACAGCTGTCTCCCCAGGAGGAGCAGGAGAAACTCCTGGATGAGGCCCTCCAGGTGGTCAAGGTGCAGTCCTTCCAGATGAAAAGATGTCTGGTGAGATACCCCTTCTTTACAAACTGTACATACTAGTAAGATGTACCTGGATATACATATCTTCTACTACTAGAAAAGTATTTGTTAGATAAGTATTTTATCATATCATGAATGAATAGAAACAGGACTAAACTTTTCATCAGTCAAAGTTTGCTTACTATATATTATGTGTATGTATTTATTTGTTATTGGTTTGGCTGTTCAACGATCACAGCCATGCAGCCCAACTAGCCAGTAGTAGTGTTACAAAGGGGCTTGCCCTGCTGACAAGACATGACAAAACATTATGGCAACATACAATGTATAAGGTGGCTTAACAATCTACAAAACTATGTAAATAAAAACTTAATACATATACAAAGGAACTTGATCTATGAAGGATATATATATATTATGTGTAAACTCTTAAGTATCCTGGATATCCTCTTCTATCTGGTATTGATTACATGTATATCAGTAGGTATTAGTGCTGTGTACCAGTTCGCTGGACTGGTTCTGGACTTGTAAAAATGTTTAGGTGCAAGTAAAAAAACCTGAATGTTGGGAACCAGTTCAGGACCTACAAAAAACAAAATCATGTCACATTCCCTTTTTTGTTCTAAACCACCTGATTGAAGCCTTTATTTTAAGCCAAATTTTTTACTGCAAAGTGAAGAAAATATTGCCAATGGGTGTTGTCATATGTCAGCCTCCACAATTATGTGGCCATTGTTTCACCCAGACGTGTTGTGCAAACAATACATCTTGATATATTGCTTCTAAACCTTGGTGCATTGCCTACTACAAAATGTTTGCAAACTTGCTATTTTGTATATACCATGGGTCTAGGACAGGTCTTAAGTCCGGACCTGAACCTGTAAACCTATGGACTTGAATCCGGACCTGACCCTTAACATGAGTTTAGGTACACAGCACTAGTAGGCATTATTATTTGCTATATTCTGTTCTGGACATGACTGCATGACTGTTTTTCTATGTGGAAAGCAGTGTCCACTATTGCTTTCACTGACTGTTCAAGAAGTTAGTCCAGAGCGACATATTGACATGCGAGATAAAATGTACAGGACAAGGTCCTAAGCCTGGATCAAGCATATTGAGCTAATGTAACAGATAGAACTTGTCCCCTGCATGTCTGTACAGGACAAGACCAAGTTGATGGATGGGCTGAAGCACGCCTCCAACATGCTGAGTGAGCTCAGGACATCCATGCTGACTCCCAAGAGTTACTACGAGCTGTGTATCCTTCATTACAACCTTTGGTGTGCCGTGGGCCACAAACAGTTGTTACCTATGTAGCATTGGTGAAATGCTTTGGGGACATTCAAGGAGGATTACAAGTATTCTTTGCTCCAAGCTCAATCTCATACAGTATACTGTTTTGATATTGAAATTCTGTATGCATTTCAGTACAGAAGTGTTTCAACTGGGAGATTAAAACCTGTTTTCCTGTTCTACTGCAAAATTAAGTCTCTTCCAGTATACATTTTCTTCAGTAGTTGTTCAGAAAACAATGGAGCACCTTTTAAAAGTACCTGTGTGCCTGTTTATCATCCACTCATCCTGAATGGCAACTTGAGTATTTAAGTAAGGAAAAAGTATCTCCTTGACTTGATGCTGAACAGACATGGCGATCTCTGACGAGCTGCGCCACCTCGAGATCTACCTGTGTGACGAGTTCCAGAAGGGCAGGAAGGTGGCGGACCTGTACGAGCTGGTACAGTACGCAGGAAACATCATCCCCAGATTGTGAGTGGACGGGTGGGAGGGGAGTTCGTATTCCCACTCCTTGTTAGAATTACTTGTAACTAGAAAAGTAACATTTACAAAGCAATGTTTACCTTCGCATATGGTCTTCTTTGTTAATTCTTACTCAAACATATTAACATACATGTATATGGTGACAGGAGTATAAATCCCTCCTACTATAAAATTGCAACATTATGTAACCCAACACCAGTTACCATGGTGAGAGACAGTCTGGTTCAGTCAGGTCAGAGGTCACATTGGAGAAGAAGAAGAAGAAACATAGCAAAAAACAATATGTTTTCCTTTGGTTAAGATAAAGATGTCATAAGAAAATTGCCAGAACCAACAAGAACTAAATGTAGTTTGTGTTTTAGCATGTAACCTGAATAGATC